CAATAGTCCCTTGCTTTGTTCAAACAACTGCCTCTTGACCTTGTACAGGTTGTGCATGAGCACAGTGGAGTGTCTGGAATTCCCATGCTTCTCAAAGTTTTTCAGTGTTTTATGCTCCACAGACGAATACTGTAGCAGAGTTACTGAAACACAAGCAAACCTCTTCTGGCATTCTCTGCTTCCAGCCAGTAGCCACCTGACATCAGCAACGCTCCACACCCCCTTCTGAATCTAGCCGGAACCTCTGGCAGCGCCCTGTCCATGGACTGCTGCCACTGTTTTGGGGGATCTTCAGCAGAACTTTACTTATATGTGATATTAATAATATTGTTCTATAATTTGAGCATTCTTTTGGATTACCTTTTTTTGTGGAATGGGTACAAATATGGATCTCTTCCAGTCAGTTAGCGACGTAGCTGTCTTCCACATTCCCTGTCATAGACAAGGGAGTACTTCTAGGGCTTCATCGGTGTATTGAAACAAGTCACTTGGTAGTCCATCAGTTCCTGGAGTCTTGTTTTTGGCTAATGTTGTCAGTGCAGCTTGAATGTCTTCTTTCAGCACCTGCTGCTGCTCATATGCAACCTCCTAAAAAGGTGGAATGCCGACTAGTTCTTTTTGGTACAGTGACTCTGTGTGCTCTCTTCTTTTGATGCTTTCCTGCATCACTCAAAATTATGCCTGTAGAATCTTTCAATATTACAACTCAAGGCTTGAATTTGGGGGGCGTTGTAGGGGTTCAGTTTAAGATATGTTCTTCTTTTTGGTTTTCTAACTCTAGATCTTTGCACATTTCATTATGTGTCTAACTTTGTCTTCTCGAGATGTCCTTTGAAATTTTCTGCTCAGCTCTTTCACTACATCATTTCCTCTATTTGCCTTAGCGACTCTATGATTAAGAGCAAGTTGTGTATTTACAACACATATGTGACTGACAAAGGCTTAATGCAGAACATAGAACTAACATCTGGAGGCAACGTGTTGTGCCGTGGGCCAAAGAGGGCTTATCTTGCCTGCTCACCATTGCCAGACTACAGAAACCAGGTGGATTAAAATGATTCTGCTTGATTTTTGTACACATGCAAAAGGGGTGTGGTTGGAAATTTTCTTCCAATGATCATCTCTCTTCGCTCCTTTGATCTCACAACATATACAAGCTGAGTGAAACTGTTTTCAAACAGGAAAACCTTGGAATGACAGGTGCAAACTAGAAAAACAAAGTTTTGTTTTAACGATTGTATACTACAGAGCGTGGATTTCCAGAGACTCTGAATCTCAAGGAGAAAGCCTGGTAAGCAGGCCCGGCTCTTAATTTGGGGGAAAAGAAGGCCTGTGGGAGAGTTATAACACTCAGATAAGAACTGGATTTTCAGCTTAACCACAGTCCTTGAGAGTCTATGCCTGGATACAATCACAGGATTCTCTGCGAAACAGGTTCCAGGGGTTCAGTTTGGGGTCACAGCTCCGGAGGACTGTAGTTAAAGTACGTCTTGACAAACTACATCATTCTTCTAAACTATGTTACATTTCCATCACGGTAATAAGCGGGCTGACTCTTCAAAAGCATAATAGAAAAATGGACCCAAACACTCAACAACCCTGAACAGAATAAAAGAGAGTAATCAATAAAGATATGATTGAAAGGTGTTCATGTCATTGATAACCAAGGGAATGCAAATTAAAACCACAGACACTACTATACACCCACAGATTAAACACAGCAGCAACAAGAATTCTTAATAAACTGCTGACAAATACATGGTGGTAAAACTATTTTTGGAATCAGCATCACTTAGTAAAGATGATTGACAACGTTTTACAGGCAGTTTCTAATACAGTTTTCAACAGTCACTGCCTTCTGCTTTCACATGTTGGATCGACTTGCTTCAAATGGATAGGATGAACGGGATGTCACTTTCAAGGCCAGTTTATAAAAAAAACGTCATTTCCATCTTGTTGACCCTTGTTGGCTCTTCTTGCTTGATTGCTCTGATGTAGCAAGCCCTGGTGCTTTGATCTCCAGGGAGAATCCTGCCGGAGACATGGAGCATTGTTTCCAGCCCATAGACCACCAGGAGCCAGACGCTACTGACAATCATGCGAGTGATCTTTGAAGGCAATTGTTGAGTGTAATTTGACTGTTAGAGACCTTGAGTCAGAAGACCCAGCAAAACTGCCCTTATACCTGACCCACTATCACCACATTCTGGTCCAGTTCTCTGTCATCTCTGTCCTGGATTGCTGATTATTGATTCATCTTCCCTTCATTTACCCTGTCCTCCTATCTGTTCTTACCAAACATCGAGGTACTTTTAAAACTAAGTCCTCAAAACCATTAAATTGTTTCCCATTTCAGAGTAAAAGCAAGCCTTGATTGATTGTCCTGCATGGTCTTGCCCCGGTCTGACTTCGAGTACTTTCCTCCGTGTTCTGTATCTAACCATGTTGACCTCTGTGCTATTCTTGGAACACACGCCGTGTGCTCCTGCCTTACAGCATTTGCACAGGTTCATCTCTCCTTGCCACTAACCTTTCCCATCAGAGGAGTCTCTGGGTAGTGCAACTGGTTGATGTACTCTATTGCTAACTAAAAGGTTAGAGGTTCAAGCTCACTATGAAGCACCTCTAAAGGAAGCTCCAGAGATCTACTTCTGAAATGCAGGCTATTGAAACCCCTACAGAGTACAATTTTACTCTTTATTCACTTGAAGCAACCATTTCTCAATGAAGGTTCTGCAAATTACATAGAAAGTTGATCTGAGAGATTTGAGATGAGTTTTAAATATGTGTTTCTCACAAGTTTCTAAGAAGTGCTGATGTTGTTAACCTACAGACTAGACTCTGAGAACCACGGCCCTAAGGTCACCGTGGTAGTCAGATGATTTTATGTCAACTAGACACTCCTGACTAGGGGTAGAGGCAAACCTGTCAATGCTGTCTCCTTGTGGGTGTGGCCTTCTTATAAGGAAAACTTATGGCCTGGAAACCTCGTCACTTTGCAACTTGGCCTTGCTGCCTGCACTTTGCTTTCCTCCCAGGTAAAAGTTGCCGGAGCCTGGTCACGTTTCCATTGTCCTTGGCTCCACACGACTCTTCACCGTGGGCTTGTGTCCTTTCCGCATTCTGCATCCTTGCATGTGGCTGCATGCATCTGACAGAGTATTTTATGGACTAGTACCGAACTTAGGGACTTGAGAGTTGGACTGGGCTGGGATGCTTTCTTGAGTCTATAATAACTTCTTAATATAAAAGCTCTTTCTTAGACATACACAAGTGTCACTGGATTTTATTTTCTAGTCAACCCAGCCTAACACAGTAACTATCGTATGAAAACTCCTACATTCTACTCTAGGCATTGAGAATGACAATTGTTATGCACTATCTTTGGGGGAATGAGAAAATAGTCACACTAGTTTCTGTTCTGTTGGAACTCTGAAAAAGACAAAATCTTCTCTATAAAATACCTAGCTATTTCTTCAAGTCTTTGTTCAAGTGTCAATTCCTTAATAAGATCTCCCCAGATTCTACCCCCTCGATTTAGTAGGGCCATCTCTTCCCCACATTCAGTTTGCTACTTCCCCTTGTCACGATCGCTTCAATACCTAGAACTTCCCAGCATCCTGTGATTTACTTACCATGTTCACGGTAACTCACTTTCTCCTCTCAAGGAGCAGCTGGTGACTTTGAACTACTGACCTTGCAGTTAGCAACCCGATGTGTAACCACTGTGCCATAAGGGCTCCTTCTTGGTAACTGGAATGTCCAAATCACACCGCATGGGCTGGGCTGATTTGTTCGAATGTGAATGAAATATTTGTAAAAAATAAGTGAATTGTACCCTTAATTTCTTTGACAGAATATAGTTATCAACTAATTTAAAACACTATCCTTACTTGTGTTCCCAGAAAGAGAGTGCAGTGGTGGGGGGTGGGGGTGTGTGAGAAGGGGTGTGTGTGTTGGGGGGTGGGGGGCGGGTTTGACATGAGATTCTGGATCCAGATGAGCCTAGCTTCAAAAGTCAGTTTCACTAAAATGTACTAGGTAAATATTCACCCCTCTGAGATTGTCTTCATCTTTAACAAAGTGATGCCAGGAAATGGCTATCAGAATTAAATTAGACAAAGGTGTACACAATCTTTAGCATAATTCGAATCACTAAATAACTGCTTAGTAAATATTACTTTTTACCACTGATCTCTCCTTCTCTAGAACACATTTCCTTTAAAGTGCAAGCTATTTGAAAACCAGTAGTACTCTTATGGGAAATAGGTTCTTGTCTTTTCCCAAGAGAAAGATTTACTCTGGTCAGACACAGAGGCAACACTGGAGAATTTTATTAGCGGCTTCTCTGAGGGAGAAATCATAACCAGTACACTTGGCACACTGGTTTCTTTTCTAAGCACAAGTGTGCAGGGGCTTTTTAAGGATTTTCCTGTAGGGTATGCAGGATTCTGGGAACCTCAGTCTATGAATGCTCTGTTCCCGCTAGATGACGCACGCACGTGCCAGGGTTCTGGGGAAAGCCGTCCTGAAGGTCACACGTAGTGCACAGGACGCTGCCCGTTCGTAGCCTCCGAGGCAGCTTCTGTGTAAGAGAGCTCAAAGATTTCCTTGAAAAACGTGATTCTAGGAGCTGCTCTGAGCTCTCGTCCCACGAGGTAACCATTCTTGCTCCGTTTCTGGTCTAGCTCTCTACTTTTGCTACACTGCACGATTTCAGTACGATTACTTCAAAGGCACATCTGTTTTAAATAAAAATCTCGAAATATCTTAGGCAAAACTCCATTTTAAAAGGCAACATAAGAGCCTTTACCTGAGAAACTGAAAAGTTTTTAACTATATACCAAATATAAAATAGAATGCTGACAATATTGTTTACTTTTACTGATATTAGAGAAATATTTCGAATTTGACACCACAGAGTCACTGCTTGGGGGTAGAAGAGGGACTGAATTTCTGTTAATCAAGGGGAATAGTTTGGGAAAGGATAGTAGTAATAGTTATACAACATGATGAATTTAATCAATCTGAATTATTCGTGTTAAAATTGTTGAATTGGGAAACGGTTTTAGATATATGTTTACATACATACATACATGAGGGGGCTTCAAAATTTCGTGGAAAAATTCTATTATCTTTCAATTCTAATTTTACACAAATGTGCTGTAGCCCCCATCTGTGTGTGTAGACAGACAAGTATATTTAAATAAAAATGATACCATAAAACTGGATAATTTCAACTGTCAATGTACATCCCTGTGTTCAAGGCTGTTTGTATTTTAGTGGCCTTTCTAAATGGAACTTCAACTTCATTGTACAATCAAAATCTCAAATTTCTTTTTAGAAGTACTTTAGAAAAATCAGATGTAGTTTTCCCAAATAAACAGATTCTAAGTCTGCCTGCTTTAGGTATAAAGACCTTACAGAAGAATAATAATACATACTTTCAAAATCACAGGGGAGGATATACACATTTATGCTGTTGATATTGTACATTCATTCATGGTCTGATATTGCTGAAATAGAGTCTTTATTTCTGAACATTCCAAAACAGCAGTGTACACAGTATAACAAATATTGAGTCATATACCATAAGAAAGCATTCATTAGTGCAAATGGATTTTGTAAAAGATCTATCAAAAGATTTATTTGCTTTAAAATGGATCCATTTCTAGAAGCAATGTTAATAAAACATTACAGTTTCATCCTTTGTAATAAAGTGTTTAAAAAATGATAGTTTAGTAGCAATCATTGCAGGTTTTAAGTGCAATGAGCTTGTGATGCCATTATAAATATGAAACTCACATATGACTATAAATTCATGAAGAAAAAGACGGGGGCATTTAACTCTGCTGTCTGGCTATCTCCTTCCAATGATTCAGAAGACTTTGTGCTCATTCAACAAAAAATTGTCTCTCAAATCGTAGGGTACATTTTTGCTGATACATCCCTAAAGCTAAAAAAATAGTACCTTACCACAAAAATATTTTTATGGCACAAAATTTTAAGTTGTTCCATAGTGGCTCACGTAGGTGTAAAAACAAATAGGTACCTGCCGCCACCACCACCCCCGCCACCACCCACCAAAAATCCTGTAAACCATCAGGGCTCAAACTTATTTGGACTACCAACCCTTTTTTAGGACAAAAAACAAATGTACTCAGTGCCTCCCTGGCAATGAAAAACTTTTATACTATAGACCATAATTCTGGAACAAGTGTAGCTATCTTGCGTTCCAGCCCCTCTGGATCACTTTAGTGCCCCCAGGGGGCAGCATCACCCACTGTGGGAAACACTGCTGTAAACCATTAAAAAATTAACTTCAAAATATAAGTTACAGGACCTAATTGTAAATATTCAATGTATTAAAATATGTTCATGTCATGGAAATAAGATGTTTAGAACAGTAAGTAACGTGAACAAGTTACCTTTAAAAATGTATATGGCAAAGGATTATTGATACATCTTAATTCTCTCAAAAAGGTATTCGGGTACATAGCAGTTCTACAAAACCTTTCTAGATCTAAGTATCACAATACTGCAACCGAGGATTTGACAGTGTTGCAGTATCTCAGGCAAATATTTAAGTGCAACAATTAGTCTCTGGTGACTGGTCCATTGAAAAAACAATGCCATAAATATGTTAAAATGCAAAGGGAAAGAATATCCCAACATCCACGGTTACCCAGCCAGCTAGGTAACACAAACCCTCATTTTTCATTTCCTCCCCGGTCTTCAAAGGTACATAAAAACCGCATCAGTAGCAACCATCTCTCCAGTTTCCATCCCTCAGAGCGCTGAGTGAAGACAGGGGTTTGGGAGGCTGAAGGAAACTGTAATAAGGGTGGAAAAAAGGAAACATGATTAGTCATCTTTATAAATCCATCACTCACTTTGATCTTTACTGTCCAGGAAAGACAAGTGAATGGAACTTTGCCAGGAGTACCTTGTGTTTCACGCATTTAGGTATGAACACCATGCTCATGAGTACTATCCCTGGTTCATACCTCAGGGCCTCCCATAAAGAAACATAAATAACAAATGAGCAATATCTTTAAAGTGTATAGGATATTTTAAAGTCAGAAAGAAAAAGATGAGAAAATGACCTAAAAGTATAAATGGCTGCTTCTCTGGATATATACACAGGAAATTGTCATAAAAAATCTCAACATTATTGATAGTCAAAATCTGCTTATGATATTGGCAAGCAATTTAGAACGAAAGATGATTCTCAGAGTTTGCTTAAGTTTGGGAAAAGAAACATTCTCAAATCCTTTCTAAAAAGGTAGTTTGAAGATATAGTTTCAAGGATAAGTGGATATATTCCTTAAGCTACAAGTTGTTCTTTTGGGATTCATCCTAAAGGAAACATGGTACATATATAAAACTATCTGAATGTGCTTCACAATAAGCTATGTATATTAAACAATGGAATTCAATACAGTACTAAGCATGATGATGTACCTCTGCATTTAGTAAGAGAGGAAAAGCCAGAATTTATTGAACAAACATGCACTATCAGGATAGTGGGATTATCAGTCAACCTTTGTTTTGTTTTAATAGTTTATATATGTACATATATATATGGAATTCAAAGTCTGTGGCAAAACTAGAATTAAAAGATAATGAAATTGCTTTACGAAGTGTTTGAAACCCTCTTGTATATACCCACACATAAGAATAAATAGAATGTGTATCCACATCAAGTTTTTATCCTAGTTTTGTATGAATTATCTAGTTATTATTTCCATTTCCTCATTTTGCAATTTTTTACCAATTTACTTTTATAGATTTTTTTCTTTACTGTAAGATACTTAACAATGCCCAGTTCAGTAAGGGTCTATCATGACTATAAGCATCATATACGAGGGGGTACCCCCACTCCAAAAAAACCGGATTTTTTTCAAAGTTATATATTTAAATTTTTTTACACAGCAACATTATCACCTTCAAAGTATTCTCTATACACTTAATACACGTATCAAATCTGCAATTCCATTCTTGGAAACATTTCTCAAACTCATTTGTTTGGATGGCTGACAGCACCTCCCTCATTTTTTCTTCATTTCTACATTGTCAAATCACTGTCCTTTCATGTCCCTCGGCATTCATAGAAACAAAAAGAAGTTGCACTGAGGGAGGTCATGTGAGTAGGTGGGGCAAGAGCGGCATACTTTTTTTGGTGGCGGGGGACAAAACCTGGTGCACTGAGATGGCTGCATGAGCACCTGTCCCCATCTGCCACGCATAGGACTTATTAGTCACATCTGTTACGCAGTCTTTTCAGAACCTTTAAATAGAAAGCTTGATCAACAAACTCCAGATGCACTAGGAGTCGACATTTTCATCCAGGAAGACGACGGACATCCAAAACAAGGTTTATCATCAATCAATATTTCACATTTTTTGAAACAAAAAAACCACTTGTACGTTTGAGTTTTTCTCACAGCACTGTCCTTATAAGCTGTGTTCAACATTACAACAGTTTCTGTGGCATTTTTCCTGAGCAAGAAACAAAATTTCACTGCTGCACATTGTTCTCTTAAATCAGTCATCACCAAAAAAAAAACAGATTTGAGTGAAACTGCTTATAAGAAAACATTCACTGTAACCAAAGAGTTACAGTAATGCCACTAGTTAGTGGGTGCACTAACTCAGAGCCAGTTGCTCAATGTGGGCCTAGCAGGAAAAATGTGTACTATGAAAGCTCCACCCTGCTTTCAATTCTGGTTTGTTGCG